CAGATAAATGACACGCAGTGTCTTCTGTAATTATCGGCAAGAGTTTTTACAGTACGTCTCCTGTTTCTCTCTAGGCCACATACTTGATGCTAGGAGACAGCAAAGCAGGTGTTCAACTCACTCGTGCCCTCCAGAATTCCTTAAATGACCTCTGGAAGCGCTGGAGTGAAAACCGTCTCAGCATGTCAAAATTTTGAGATATCTCAGTCGCTGTAATTCTTTTAAGGCTGCCTCGGCGTCTCTAAAATATAAATCTTTCCTAGTTATTGGCAATGAGTGAGGAGTTGTGACGTACCGTATGCGGGTGTGCAATCAAGATGTACGACCTCCCTGTGCTACCCTATGACTCCCTGCTTTGTAAGAGTTAATATTTCTTCTAAAAAATAATTATCTGCTTTAAACTTCTTTCCCTGAATGTAAGTATTTCAACCATCTGCTGAGTCAGGCAATATAGCATTCTGTGCTTTCGGGAGGCTGTGATGGTTGCTTAGACAACAGTGACATAATATTTAAGCATAACGGCTCTCGAGAAGATACTGTCCCTTTCTCCCTGGACAATTTCTCTGAAAATGCAAATCCGATAAGCTCTTAAAAAACAAGAGAGGGATGAGAAGGGTTTGTATCATGATCTTTCTTAACCATCTCCCCATTTCCCACTTGATACGTGAAAGTATCGTACTTTGCTCAGGAGTCTTGTAAGATGTGCTAAAATTGTAGGCTGACTAGCTACCCGCTTTTATAGAAACAGAAGAAAAAGTGCCTCTTTTTATAGTCAGTACTTATTTCGAGATTTAGACAACTTTGTGGCTGGGAAAAGCATTGCCATTGGTCGGTCAGCGTCCGAAAAAGCACTTCAGAGATAAATCTCATTCCTGAGCAGAGCTGAAATCGGCGCTGGCTATTTCCTCCTGCAAAGCTCATCTTGCTGTAGCAGGAAAAAACTGCAATTAAAGACTTAACTACGCAATGGAGACTTCATAAACATATCACTTCAGAGCATAGCTAATACACGATGAGCTGATTTTTGTATAGATATATATATGCACTGTATGCAACGTGGGTGGTTTTTCATGTTTACACAGAGATGTAATTATGAATGACATGAAGGTTATACAGCAGATTTCTTTAATCTTCTGAAGGTTTGTTAGTCATGTGTCACCGTGTACCTGGTTTTTATTTATTCAACATCTGTATTCCTTTGTCATCTCTTTGAAAGGGTTTCTCTAGAAGGGCTGCAGCAGTAGGTGCGCAGCAGCTGATACCAAATGGCTATGGGGGCTCCTCCGGCTGGCGGAGCCCTGCAGGTCCCGAAGCAACTTCCGTTGTGACACAGGGCTGTGAGACATTTTTGCTTAACAAAAAAGGAAAGGGACCCTTTTGTCACCTGCTGCGCCAATAAAATAGTAAAAAACCCCACGACTCATAGTTTGGGTCTGAGCGCTTGCTTAAGGATGTGTAAAAGCTTGGCAAGGCGCATCGAAATCCCAAAGCTGATGAAGTAGTTGGGTGACCTCTGTTTGGGTGGCGTTGGGGCAGATGACCTCTTGTGTTAGCAAACTGCCAAGATGTGGGGAAGACAGCCTCTCTGGAAGCTGCCGGTGACTCGGGCTCCTCAAAAAGTTTTGAAGCTACCCGCCATGTTTTGCCGCCTGCCAGTGTTTGTATGATGAGGTGCCGGGGTGAAAACATCTCTGGAGATGCGGTCCCTCGCTGGCGGGATCGGCGTTGGCAGCGGCGCTCGAAGGAGGATCGCGGTCCGACCCGTGACTGCTGCGGTGTGTGGGGAGTTGGGGTCGACGTGGCCAGTTGTCTCTGAATTGGGCCAAAAATGAGCAAGAGCTTAAAAAATGAGTGGCGAGAGAGAGCAGGTCTACCTGGTCCCACTGTGTGTAGGGCAGGGCAACCCCAGGCAGGCCCTGAAATATATAGGGTAATTTTTCCGTTTTCTGGCTAAAAGTGAACTCGGCCGTGTTTCCCTGGCGCAGCCGTGGTGATCGCTGGCGGTACAGGGGGAGGACACGAGGCCGGTGCTGGTGTGGAGGATGGCTGGTGCTCCCGGCCTCCCGCACAAGGGGCTCGTCCTGCGGCCATCACCTCTGCAGGCCAGGCCCAGCCTCGGCCCCGCTTCCTTCGGGGCGACCCCAAAACCCCACAGTGGGGTCTTTAGTGTTAGGAACAGCTCTCGCTTTTGGGGGGGTTGACGGCAGTGGAGCTGCAGTTACAGCAGGTGCGAGATGGGCCCTCTCGGCCTGAC